TTGAATATAGACATAGGTCTTACAATCTTCACAAGAATGAGGAATTAACTCAAAATGTTTCATAGGCCTAAATATATAAGGTAAAACTACAAAATTTCTGGAAGATATAAAAGATGACCTTCAGCATGGCAGATATTTTTAGATACAACACTGAACATATGACCCATGAAAGAAATGATAAACAGTATTTCATTAAAATGTCAAAATTCTGCCGGGCGTGGTGGCACATGCCTTTAAATCCCAGCACTTGGGAGGCAGAGGCAAATGTATCTCTGTGAGTACAAGGCCAGCCTGGTCTACACAGTGCTTTCCAGGCCAGCTGGGGCTACAGGGAGACTTTGCCTCAAAAAGACAAAAAAGGTGGGGCTAAAGGGAAACTTTGCCTAAAAAAAAAAAAAAAAAAAAAAAAAGATAAGACATAGATAGGAGAAAACTTTCTGAGATTTCTCTGAAAAGGACTGTTATCCAAAATATACAACACATTCTTAAAATCCAGTAAGTAAATGAACCTCACAAAAAATTGGACAAATCCGAACAACACTTTACCAAAGAAGATGTGGTAAGTGGCACATGAAAAACGTCCAACATTGCATGTCTTTGGGGATTTGCAAATTAAAACAGTGAGGTCCTGGGTTTCTGTTGGAATGCCCCAAACTCCAGACACTGACAATACCAAATTCTGGCAAGTATTCATTCATTGTTGTGGGGAAAGCTGAATTGTGCTGCCGCTTTGGAAGAGAGTTTAGCAGACTCTTCCAATGCTACACTATCTGATTTGTAAATCATACTCATTGATATTTACCCAAAAGAGTTGGAAATGTAGTCACAAGACCCTAAACCTCGATGTTCATACCAGCTATATCCACAAAATGGACAAGCAACCAAGATGTCTTTCAGTAGCTGAATAAATAGACTTTGGTACAAGCAGACAAAGGAACATTATTGATCACTAAAAATGAATGAGTTATCAACCCATGAAGACATGGAAGAAACCAAGTGTACATTACTAAGTAAAGTAAGCCACTATGAAAAGTATATCTGCTATATGATTCACCAATACAACACCAGAGAGGGAAAATTTATAAAAAGATCAGTGTGTGCCGGGCACTAGTGGGAATAGGGCAGGTAAAGCACAGAGGATTTTTAGAGCAGTGAAACTATTCTGTGTGATACTGTACTATTGCATATGTCCCATTATACATCCATCAAAACCCCTACATAGAATGCCAAGAATAGTTGTAATGAAAACTATAGCTTTGGAGTAAAAAGCCTTGTGTCCATATAGGCTCATCTGTTGTAACAAGCATATCACTGGGGTTGGAGATATCAGTAGTGGGGGAACTATGCCCATATGGGAAGGAAGCACACAGGAATTCTCTGTATTTTCCATTCAGTGTTGCTGTGAATGTAAAATTGTGCTAAAATATAATTTTAAGAGATTCTCAAATTCATACCTTGCATATTTAGGTTCAAGGTATCTTGGTTAGAGCTTTGAAATCTGCCTGTTCCATAAATCCAGCATATTCCTGATTTTCAACCATGATTGACAATCACTGGGTAGAATGCGTTATTCAAAATGCATGTGTACCATTTGATTTTTTTCAGACTTTCCATCTTGTACATGTATCAATATGCATCTGTATCAATATGTTAGTGGTAGATAATGCTTATACATTAAATTTTTGCATTCAGACAGTTGTATTTTTTTTAACTACATGCTTAAACTAGCAAGTGTCCTATACTATTATTATAGCTTGCCTCTTTCTAAGTAGCCTGGTAATACAAGCAACTAAAATGATAAGACTGTCCAAAGGTTCTGTTCCACCCATGCCTTTACATGAAGCAAAGAAACAAGATGGTTGCAAGAAAGTAATAATCAGCAGTATGGCAGCGAGAGAATGGCAGCTGTGATTAACAATTATGATTCCAAATTCAATTTTCCTTCAAGAGAACGGGTAATAAGATAGCCATGTCCAGCAAGCACATACAAGACCAAAGGAAAGCACTGAGAAAACAAATGTTGGTGGAAGCCTTGTGTTTCCTCCAGAGTTGAGGTGTGCTGACCCCAGTCCTTAGAACTTAGAGGAACAAGCTGAGGATCATAGAGGTTCCAGCACAAGCCCACTTTTTTTCTGCAGACTCAAGAAGGATGTATCTCTCTACTTTTAAAGGATGGAACTGGTCTCCTTGGGAGCCCAGATGTTTTCTATCTTTCCAGCCTGCAATTATTTCAACACATGATTTCAGCTGTGCTCACATCAGATCAGGGCCACCTGTTACATCCTCTGCACGCTTATGAGAGATTTGACGTTAAGTTTGTATTTATGATTTATTTAGAGAAGCCAGGATACAATTAAGAGGATGCTTTTTAAAATCATCTTAACATCCAAGTACGTGTGTAGTGTAGATTAAGAGATAATCAAGACAGACACTGTGCTGTGTAAACACAATCAAACTTAATTTTGTGATTCACTATTACATAAATTTGGATATAGGCCAGGACTAAAAAACTCATCTAAAATTCAGCTATATGCCTGAAAGGCATAACATAACATCACTGAACTTTTAAAAAGATTATTAATTTTACTTATAAATCAAATGTTAGCAAAAGTCTCCAATATAACATTTTTTTGTTATGGCTATTCTTTGTTAACAACATTGATTGTATATATTTAATTTTCTCTTATTTTATCTTGCCTGAGATTAAATATGTTCACTTTGTTACCAATAAAATGTGACTGGATATATTTTCATACATATATATATATCCTCTTTTAAATAGTAAATAATTGCAAAAAAATCTGCAGTGAGTCAATCGATCAAATGTTTACTAAACACCTTCTGTAAAACGGGAACAATTCTCCCTTCTGAGATACAGCAGGGACCAAAAAACTCCGAGTCCCTGTTCTACTGAAATAGTGAAATAAACTTATAGTTAACACTGGGGAAAATATGTTCTAATGCACAAAACATCAACTCTGTGGAGCTAATATTCTCTTCACAAATTTGATCGCGTTCCTTGAGTAAATGCTGTGCATTATAGATTGTCTCAACAATTTAAGAGTTAGCAGGAGGTTTGAGGAGGAAATTGGGGGTAGATTTGATCAAAACACGATAATGCATGTATGAAATTCTCAAACAACAAAAATAGCAGCAGGTATTGTTATTTATTGTAAGACAGCCGCTAGATAGAAGAGATGGGGAGAGTAAAAGAGCGCTCTGTCTCCTATCGTATTTCTCCCTTGTAGTTACTTGGGTTGAGCTGTAAACTTAAAAAGACTTGAAGAAACCTAATTAGAATGTCTAGTATATCGATAAAATTGCTTGAAATGCTTGAAACACAAGGATGTGGCCCAACTACGAGGCAACTGTGAGGCTTGCAGTACGGCTGAACGTTGTAACAGTGAAACCTGAAGTTTGCTTGTCCCGGTCCTTGTTCTCCAGGAGATATGCGGCAGAGGTCTAGCAGACATTATCGTGCACTCTTACGTTTGAACCCCAGCGACAGCCTTTACTTCCTGTCTAATCTCAATCTTGCATGAATATAGTTCTAAAATCTAGGAGAATTGGAGAGACCATTTTAGGATGAAGACAACTGTTTTACATCTTAAATGTAATTGCACAATGGCAGACTGGGAAATCTCTGCAGGCAAATGTGATGTTCCTGAAGAAGTCACACACTTACCCGTAGAGATTCTTCAGTTTGTCAGCTTCAAGCATCGACCCACTTCATCAGCTGTATTTTTCTACATATAGTTCGTTGACTTGGAATAAGTCTAGTGACATAGCCAAGCCATAGCTAGATTATTGAACTTTGGCTTCATCTTAGAGGACTGTATGTCTCACGATGATTTCATCTCACCAAATTAAATTGTAAGATGAAAAGTTGGTAACATGGCTTAAAGGGGTTGTTATCAGCCTATCTACTGTCCACATTACCTGGGAGTCTATTAGAAATGCAAGCTTTTGCACCCACCCCAGGACTTCTGAATCAATACCTCCAAATGGGTCTAGCCATTTCCAACCAGGTAATACTGATTCATGCTCCAGTTTGTGATCACTGGATAAAAGAAAACAGAAGATTATGACACACAACTGAACTTAAGAGCTCTCACACTAAATAAATGTGAAAAGTCAGGCAAAATAGTATATATATTCATAAATATTATTTTTAGCATGAATATCCTTTTCTAAAATAGGTATCTTGATAAGCATAAACATTCATAAAAGAAAAATACATCTTCCTTTAACTCTTACTTTACCAATGGGATTGCAAAATGCCTTATTTCCTTAGAAATAAAGAGTTAAGAAATCTGTTTAGGAGGAGAAAACGTTTTCATGTTTGGGAGGATTAAAAGAGTACTGACATCACTCAAGTCATGAGCCATAATTCTTATTAGATTTTATTGCTACATTCTTTACAAAGCTTTGGAAAGTTATTCCTAAGATCACAAAATATGCACTTAGCCTGCACACAGAGAGGAAAAATGCTTTCACAATGAAATTATTTTAGCCTGGCCCAATAATATTTGAAAGACATAAGATTCTCTGTGTAATATATCTTGGCAAAAATAAATGATGAGTTTATATAAATGTGTCTTTTTCAAGCTCCTTTATTGTTTGTCCCTTAAACAGTTAAATTTAGAAACAAATGATCTAATTTCTACATACCTAGAAAACTTCCTTTGTGTTTTGATATTATAAAAATTTCATGACTGAAGTATAAAAAATATTTAAAATTATAGTTGAACTTGGCCTCTAATGACAATGAATAAATTACATAACTTGTGTATTACACATCAGAATGTAGTGTCTGAGAGACTGGTGTGCCTCTTAACCAATAACTCCTGGTAGCATGTTAATAATTCATCTTGGGTTTCATTCTTAATGAATTTATTTTGAATATCTCTGGACCACACCAATTTCCCATGATGTGATGGAAAAAATGTAATATTCAAAAACTGAATTAGATCACACATAAAACGTCAACTTACTCAGATTATAATAATGGAGTTTGGCTCATTCATTAAATATGAGAGCTCAGCCATGTCCAGAAACTGCAGAGACAGTGTGAGAGGTCAGCAAGCTGTTTTAGATACATTTGATGTCCCAAGGAGGCACACTTGAAGAGAAAGCGGTTCTCTATGTATCAGACTTTGTGACTTTCACTGGATCCATATCACTTCAATCTTGCTACAGTCGCTGATCGATAATTCCAGCTAATACGTGATAATAATAAAAAGCAATGATTAAGCTATGTAAGCAATTTGATATATAAAGTCTTTCGATATATGGAATTCCCTTGGAGAAAACAATAGAAAAGCAATACTAGGAATTAAACACACACTTACCTCCTAGACACGCTAGAGGGATGTTATGACCATTGATACCAGGAGTGTTACAGCATTGTAAATACTGTTACATGAAGCACTCCATACATGTAATCTACCTTTATTTTTTTCAAACACACTGAAGGTATTACTGACAGTCCCATTTTATGAAGAAAATGAAGCTCAGAAAGATTTAAAATGGGAAGGAAAGACATTATCAAGTGTACACAACATCTCCGACAAAATCTCACAGAAGACCCAGGATGGAGCGACAGGCCAGGACGTCTGGTCTTAAGTATCAGACAGCCCCCACTTAGCCTCTCAGGACTAAATTTCCTCATGTTTGAAAGCAAGCAAGCTATTCTCTTTTCTGTCCGTATCCTATGGCTCGGGAAAAGGCTTTGTCCAAAAAATGTAGGATGCTATTAAGCTTTAAGTTTGGGGTGAACTAGACAGGTCTTGGGGATGGCCTGGACTCCGGCTGTTTCAAGTCACCCCAGGTTGCATTTACAGACGTGGACAGTACAGAGAGCAGATGCTGATAGGAGGGTTAATCTGTCTCCTTTGGAGCCTCCTGTGCACACTGGTCTTTTCTCTGTCATCATCCTTCCCGGCTCATGCTTCATGTCTCAGTCCTGGTGCTCCCAAGGACACCTTACCGCAAACACACATCTCTGAAGAAATGTGCTGGATAAGTCCATAAGGACTTTCCTTCTCTCCTTCCAAGGGATGTCAGCGTTTTCAATAAACATGCAACTGAAATACATCTCAGAACCATAGCATTCAGCTCTGGAAAGGAATATAGTGGCTTCTTCAGCTGAATTATCCATCGAACACTGACTATGATGAGATTATTGAATGCACACCCTCTTTGGTCCTGGCAATAACCTTATCTGAAACTTGAATGTTAAATGTCTTGATTTGCAGATGAGAAAACTGAAGGTCCTAGAGGTAAAATAAAGATTCCCATATCTTCACTACTACTTGACTCTAAGGCTCCAGATCAGCAGCTACTAAGTAGGAAACCCAAAAGGAGACTTCACTTTTCTTTGTACCATATGACACATCCCTACAGATTACTTGAACTGATTATATTATTGTTTTACAGTGTTACAAATAATTATTCAATTTGTCATAACTAAACAGTTAATTCAAAAGCATACCTGCTAAGTTATAATCCACTGGCTGAAGTAGACAGCTGGAAGTTTCTAATAAATTCAGTATCTATTTATATTTTAACCCCAAAAGCTAAAGGATAAAATTGTACCTTTCTACTACTGAAGACAGCAAAACATAAAATTCACACATCCTTATAAAACAAATACCTCATCCCTTCCTAGTGTTGCCAACAATTTAAAAATCAAGTTGAAACAAATCATTAATGGATTTGAAGTGCCCTGAGCATCATTTGGGGTGTTCATAAGACCAGGCTTACTTAACACTCATAAACAGGTAAACGTGCCATATTCAGTGTTAATCATCACATTTACATGTCATATGCCCTGTATCTTCCATAAGGTTTCAAATGACAGAGCCATGAAAGATACTGTGGTCTATAGAAACAGATAACCTTCCCTTTTGGCAAAAGGCTTTCTTTTCATGCTAGTGGCCTTCCATCTCTGGTGGCTGACATAGAGAAACTCAGAGGTGAATATTCACCAAAATAAAAATATGTACAGAATGAAATCTGTATAAAAATAAAATGAATGGTTAATCGCTATGCTGAGTTATAGTACAAATTCCTATACTGAGTTGTAGTACTGATTCCTTGATGCAAAAGAAGGGTCTTTTACAATTTTCTTCAGTTCAGTATTTGTTTCCCTTCTTATTTCTGTTTTTTAGTTTTGTTTTCTTTCCCTCTTTCTGCATCTGCAGAACTGTTTTGTTCAGAAGAATGAAGGAAAAGGACAAAATAATTTCAGTGATACATAAAAATATTATCACTAACACCCATAAACTTTTCTCTCTCATGAGGCTCCAACCAGGAACTTCAGAAGAACTGAAAGTTATATTTCTTACATGTTATTGCTTTAGAAGGATCATGATTAATTACATTAAAAGGCAACCTATCACCATTATCATTATTGACAAATGTTTTGCTGAGCACACAATGTACTTGGAATACCACCAAAAGTTATATATTCTTAAAAGCTTTAAGAAACACGTTCCCTTACAAAAATGGGAATCTCTCTTTGGAACTTATTTTATCCTAATAGATTATGCGGTGTATAAAATTATCTCTTAGGGGGCTGGAGAGATAGCTCGGTGGTTAAGAACATTGGCTGCCCTTGCAGAGGACCTGGGTTTAGTTTCCAGTACCCATAAAGTAGCTAACATCTGTCCATAACTCCAGTTCGAAGGGATCCAGTGCCCTCTTCTAACCTCCTTGGGCATTGTATGACACAGGTTCACTTAAACAAATGCAAGCAATACACTCAATACACACAAAGTAAAAATGACAAACAAAATATTTTTTTTATTATCTCTTGGCCAGGCATGGTGGTACATGCCCTTAATCCCAGCACTCAGGAGGCAGAGAAAGGGGTGTCAGATTTCCCTAAAACTGGAGTTAGGATGGCTGTTAGCTACCATGTGGGTGCTGGGAATCGAACCTGGGTCTTCTACAAGAGCAGACAGTGCTCTCAACCACTGAGCCATCTCTCTAGCCACAGAATTTTATATGTTTTAAGTGTCTTATGCAACTCATATTCAGGACAAACTTTATTCACAAGCTTTCTTAACTGGTAACATTGAATTTTAAATGTCTGTTTTGGAAGGACACAAATTCACTGAAGAGACTCAGCCTTTGAAAGCTGTGAGTTGTAAGTGTTTATGAAAATAGTAATGGTCTCTTTCTTGACTTGGTGGTGGTTATAAGGGTGCGTTCACTTTGTGATAATTCATTAAGCTGTGTACTTACAATTGCTGTATTTTGACTCTAAGTATATTTACCTCAATAAAATAATTTTTAAAATACATATTTCTGAAGAATCCCTGCACTCCTTCCCCCGCAAACAAATATACTCAAATAAAGTTTGAGTGTTTATTATCTGTCTCCTAGAGCCCCTTAATGCTTCTTCTACTGCCTTTAAATCTTTAAAACTCAGCCTAATAGATCATTGTTTTGGGTTTTTTGTTTGTTTGTTTTGTTGTTGTTGTTTGGTTGGTTGGTATTTTGTTTTTGTTTTGTTTTGTTTTGTTTTTGGTCTTTTTGAGACAGAGTCTCCCATCTAGCCTGGAACTCGCTATGTAGACCAGGCAGGCCTTGAACTCCCAGAGATCCTACTGCCTCTTCCTCCTAAGTGCTGGGACTAAAGGTGTTCACCACTGCACTTGGGTAATAGATTGTTTTTTAAGCCTCAGAGCTTAGGCATCAGATCGCCCCCTTTTGGCCTCCCACCTCTATCCCTGTAAACATAGACTTTCTTCCCTAGATGGGCCCTGTCTTTTCTAGTAAGTCCTGAACTTCTCTTAATATCTTAAAATGGTGTAAAAAGATGTTTCTTTTATCCTTTCCTGGCAGCACTACCTCTATCCTCCCTTTCTATGACCCACAAAGCTCCAAATGACTTTGCACAAGGGCTGACTAGGAGGCTTTCTCAGGATCAGCACAAGGCCTTTGTAATTAAGAAAATTGCTATACCTCCTGATTCTCAGTCACCTCTCTCTCTCTCTCTCTCTCTCTCTCTCTCTCTCTCTCTCTCTCCCCCTCCCTCCATCCTCCCCTCGCTCCCTCCCTCCCTCCTTCTCCCTCTGTCCCTCTCCCTCTCCCTCTCCCTTCCTCTCTCCCTCTCTCTCTGGAATTTGAACTTTCAGAAAACAAGTTCCATGCTGTTTTGTAACTCTTCCGTGGAAATATATTGCTGTAAAATATTCTCCCACTTTTATTTTCTTCAAGAATCTCCTTGATAGGACTGTTGTGAAGATAATCCACATAAAATTTAGTGTAAATTTTATGCATGGCAATCATTAAATAGTATTTTTTGAAATACAGTAGTAGTATGGGTCTATATCAGATATTGCTCAACACTTTATATAAATAGTCTTATTTAAACCTCTAGTAATTCTGAGATAGATTCTGGGATCCTGATTTTTAAGTAAGAACATTGAGCTTCTGTAAGATAATTAACCAGTTAAACTTACTGTGGGATGCATTTTCTTCTAAATAATCATCTTCTTGCAGGATCTGAATTTTGCCAGAATGTGCCATAGTACTCAACCCCTCGAAGTCATTGAGAACCAGTTGGGCACTGTAAGAATTACAGAAGAAAAATCAAACCTGGTCCTTGCTCCAAGGCACTGACAAATGGTAGGTGGACTCTTTTGCAACCTTGTCCAACATGCTGTTGTCTTTGAGACTTAAGCTTTGCCTCCTTAAAGTGCTTAACCACTTCTACTTTTTGGTGTTTATTGATTTAGTATCTCTTCCATCCTCCCAAACCAAATATCCTCTTAGAAAATTAGCACTGAAGTCCCTTCTCCATTGCAAGAATCTTCCTAAGACTGGATTCTAAACAGTCTCTCCTAAAAATCTCTAGGGTAAACTTCCTTCTTTTTATGTCTGTGGATGTTCTCTACTGAAGAAAGTGTGCCCGAGCTGATTCAGTCACTGTACTACAAACCCACTGAGAGAGCTGAATGGCTCGTGTCACTGAGGTAAGTTGTTGCTACATCTCTGGTCTCTAGAAACCAAAATATTCTTTCTTTTTTTAACAAAGGGAAGGTGCCATAAGCCAAGTCTTAAAGGTTGTACCCCTGGTTACATAGGTAACCTACAATGACTGCTCTAACAAAAATTTATTTCTGTGTGATTACACATCATTTTCATTATCCAATTTGCTAACAACTCCTTTAAAAGGTTGTTTATTCATCTTCTTAACCCCCAGTTTTGGAGAATGCAAACTTTGACTTCTTTTTATGGCTTTGTGAAGTTTAAACTACATAAAGATGAAGCTTATTTTACAGGGACCATCCTTTGTGTCGATAACACTTATTCTCTGTTGTTAATTGTGACTACCTACTCAAGAATGTCTCCACCATTCAGAATGTGGACAACGTGCCAATAGGAAGCTCAGCTCAATGGCAGTTCCGGCTTTGGCCTTGGGCTGGACACCCACTTATGCACACTATGACTCAAATTCCCTTCTCGTAACGCCTTATCTCTAGACACCATTCTCCATGAATCCTTTCCTCTATTTGTAATTGCTTTAATCCTCATGCTCCTCTGTCTGACCTTCTCTTCCCACAAAAATCCAGAAAGTATGTATTTAATAAATAAACAAATTCATTGACAAAGATAGATGCATTCAGGACAACTTTACCAAAATTCAGCTTCGAACTGGTATTTAACAAAATTCCATCCAAAATGCTCATTTCTAACTCCAGCCAAATATTTTATTGAGATCAACTTGAAACCAAACATTTTCTGAATGCCTACAGGGCTAAAAAAAATAATAATAAATAGTATTTGGCTCTCTCTCTCTCTCTCTCTCTCTCTCTCTCTCTCTCTCTCTCTCTCTCACCTTGAAAGTTCGAGAGTTTCGACTGAAAGTTCCAGAGTTTCGACCACAGAAATAACAAGAAGATGAGGTAAAAGGAAACAAGGCTTGAGAAGAAACTGCCTGGATAGGGGCCCCACACAATAGAACAGAGTTCATTTGGGAAGCCAGCAGGTGTTCAGCACAGCTGCTGAGAACTTGGGACACAGTCCTTACGTACTCTGAGGACCCCTCGTCAGTTCTCTTACTCACCTACACTCTTTGCATTGTTTCCTCTATATTTTCTGCCTTTGCTTTGAGTTGATTTCCAAATGGGAGATATGACAGACAACCAAATGTGACAAAATTAGCACAACCCCTGCACTCACACAGGTTTAAGTATCAAAGGAACTGAGATAGTTCAGAACTTAGATCTGAAGCCTTAAGGAAGGTGAGACTTCTAAGCATGTGTCAGATGATGAGTGCTCAGATGCATAAGGTGAAAAATGAATTGTAAATACAACTTAGAGCAGCTCTAGATGCCACACAGTTCTAAGAACCTATAATATCATACAAGCCTGTGGTTCCCCAACCCAGAGACCTCTTGTCCTATACAGCACTTTATCCTGATACCTCAGTATTAGATCAGTAATTCTAACAAGGTACAAGAGCAGATCTGCAAATTTTCAAAGGAAGAAAAATAAGTGGAATTTAGATATCTTTTCTAAATCTAGATTTTGGAAGTTTTAAGAACTAATTTTCTAAAGTAATTGAGTTGACCAAAGCTCATAGCAACAAAATTAAAACAAAGTAAATTTAGTGTTTATCAAAGGTGTATGTACCATATTTACTTCTAGCTTGACATTTCCACATACACCACATTTAGTTTTTCAGTCCCATACAGAACTATTAGCACAGAAACTGAGGTTCCAGGAAATAAAATGATTTCCCTTAAAGCCCAGTTGCCAAGTTTCTGGTAGAACCAGGAACAACAACCCCAATCCACCTCAAACCAAAGCTTGTACTTTCCCCACATCCCGTGCTCCATTCCATAGCCAAGCAGCAGGAAGAATAATCCTTCCAAGTTTTCAGAGGGCATCTGTATTAGTTACTGTGGCTGTGATAGAAACACCATGACCAAAGGAACTTATAAAATGAATAGTTTATTTTGCTTATGGTTCCAAAGGGGCAAGAGTCCATTACAGCAGGGAGGCATGGAGGTCAAGGTGGCTGGAGTCGGAGCAGAAGCTAAGTGCTCACATCTTCAAGCAGGCACAGGAAGCAAAGCAGGACTGTAAATCCTGCAAGGCTTAAGAATTTTCTAAGCCCACCCCCAATGACATGCATCCTCCATGCCTAGAAGGCCTTCCTTCTAAGGCCTCCCAAAACAGCACCACCAGGTGGGGACAAAATGTTCAAATACTTGGAGCCTATGGGAGACATTATTCAAACCACCAAAGCATCCAAGTGATTATAAATTTGAAAAAAATAGCACCTGCCCTCAGGAGAAGTTGCCACCATCAGAACAAACTCAGTAACTGGGTAGGAATTTCTTTGTTACACACAAATACAAATCTATAGAAAACCTCTAATATAACTATGGTCATAAATGTGTACATCCCCAAGATAGCTATAGAAACTATAGTTTAGGAATATTTCAGAATATTTGAACAAAATGTCTGAGCAGTGTTAGAGACAGCTGACTTCTTCATCTACTCTATCACTATTAGACAGTTCATCTGGTCTATGATCTGTCTAGTCACACTAGTACAGCTTTTTACCAAAATTTTGTATCAGTCTCTTCCTTTTTTTCCTCTTTTTTGTGAACATCCATAACAGTAATCCAGTAAGGTTGGCAAGGCATCAAAGTATGCATGTGTGCATTCCTTCAGAAACTGTCCCTCCACAATTGTGAATGTGAGCCAGAAATAGACTTAGATTCATCCCGTCACCTCACTTCCCTCATCAGCACACAGTACAGTATTCCGACATATGACTTTCTCTTTGGAAAGTTTTCCAGCACATAAAGCACATCTTTACTCATCTGACCTCTTTATATTAATTCTTCAGGGTCTCTAGTCACTTTCACTTCTAGAAAGACAAGAACTCAAATCTAAAGTTAAGAGAAGCGAAAACCTGAAGCATCATTCATGTTGATTTGAACTTGGGTCTAGTTCATTCCACACTCTTGAGAAGCCATAGGAAATGACAGTTTTGTTTAATTAAGGCACAATCTGCTTGTTTTTTGAGCCTCACTAATTTGATTCTTAAAAATAAATTGTAAATGTTTTCATCATAAACTTAAATTTGTTTTTTAAGGAATAAAAACAAATTTATTTTATTTTTTATATTTACGTGTATATGTGCATGCCTCTGTGTATGTGTGTACAAGGGACCCACAGAGGTCAGAAGAGGGTATCTAATCCTGTGGAGCTAGAATTACAGGAAGTTGTGAGCTGCCCAACACAGGTACCTCATAAGCACCATCCTCCCAAGGGCCATTGTGCCTGGTTTTATTTAAATGGGTGATGGGCATCAAATCCATGTCCTCAAGCTTGTACAGCAGTTTACCAATGGAGCCACCTCCAAACTCTGACATGAAGAACTCTTAAGATTATATTCATTTGTTCTTTCCCAATTATTTGATATATTTGCATGACCTTTTTCCATGAAAAGCCCTTTTTCTAATTCAAAAACTTATTCTAATTATAGCAGGTATCTAAATTTCGCTCTCATTTTGTATTTACCTACCTTCTTTTCACAAAAGATCCAATTTTCAGTTATTTAATGACATTATAAACTGGAATCAATAATTCTTTGACTCAACTAATATTTGATTTAGTTCAACAAATTTTGATTGACTATTTATTAAAGGTCAAATATATCATTACTGAGAATTGTACAAATAAAAACATAAAGATTAATAAACACGGTCTCTCTATATAGAAGTTCATAGTCTAATGAAAGATTTTTTTTGCCTTTGTGCTGGCTGTTTTTTGACAGTGTCTCTATGGTCACAGTCCACTTGGAAGTCACAATGTGAACCAGGATCTCACAGAGATCCACCTGCCTCTGCCTCCCAAGGACTGGGATTAAAGGCACATGCCATGCAGCCCGGCTGAAAGAGAATTTTTAAGCAAAAAAGAATCATTGTGTACAATAGGTATATAAGCAGAAACACATATTGAATGGGATTGTCAGTGAAAGGAGACCGGAGAGAGAAAGAAGTATCTGATACTTTATACATCACACAGGTGTACATGTGCAGGATAAATCAAGGAGAGATGAGAAAAACATTCCATTCAGTATGGCACAAAGGCAGAACACAGACCATCAGATCCTTGGCACTTCAAGAAGTTTGCTTTGGCTGAAGTCTACTATGCAGGAGAAGACACAGTCTGGTCTGAAAGCAAGCTGGTGAGAAAGGCAGGGCAGAAATCCCCACCACAGTGCAAAACTCAGCCCCCAAACCAGAACTGCTAAATCAAAGTCTGTCACTGAATCTGTATTTGCAATATGTACTCCTCTGATGCTCCCCAAAACAGAAACCTGAAGTAAATGGTAAAGAATCTCTAAAGATATTTTCTTCTTTCCTTTCTCGATCATCATTTGCACTTGATCAACCTCACTCTCTGGGCTAACGGAAATTGTGGCTCACAGCCTAATCTCATTGAGCCATAATAAAGTAGCGAGTCGTGGAGATGACCATGCAACAAAGGCAGACCTCCCTTGCCACACCTGCCCACCCGGTAAGTATGTAGTCACTTTTTTTTTTTCTTAACTTATGCAATTGCTCATTTTCTTGCCTGAGGAAATTTTCTGGAGTATTTGGCTTTGGCGTTTCCAAATTCTTTATAAAGTTTGTTTAAAAATGTTTCTTGAGTGATTAGTTTTATATCCATCCACCTGTGTTCCTGCTTGGTGGTGTTTATAAACGATTAATCACATAGATCCTTTCTTAACACAAAAATACTTTTATGACAAAAAAAAAAATGTGACATTGTCAATTCCAGAAACCTGTGAAAATAAGTTTCAGTTCATCAAAAGGAGTAGTTTGCTTCAGCCAGTACATTCAGTGAACGAAGATGCACTTCTGCTCAGGGCACACAAGCACCTCTGCTCGTAGGATTCTTCTTGCAGGTCTAACCTGGACAGCTGTGAGTTGGTTTAATCTCAGCTGGCAACTGTGAGATGCTCATATAATCCCTCACAGTAGTCTCTGGGATTATGCTAAACAGAGCAATTTCCTTGACCTCCAAAGATTTGCTTGACCTCCAAAATCAAAGAACCAAATTTCAATTCCATGAACAAGAAAAACAGCTGTGATGGTCACTGTGTCATGCCCACAGGGTCTAGTCTTACCAAAGTCTTTCTACATTGCTGTTGTGACTGGAAAAGAAACCTGCCTTCGGGATTCACTTGCTGTTTAAGGTGCCCCTTCAGTGCTACTTGTTTTGTTTTAAACTGCAGCAAGGGAATGTGGGTTTAAGAAGCTGAATCTAAAATGTTTTCCTTGTGAAAGCTCCTCCCCCACTTTGTGGGTACTAGTCCATCAAATTCTAAGCAATCAGTCTAAGCAATCTGCCAGGCCCTCCTCAAACTTTGGCTCCCTAGATCACCACATTTAATCACCCTTCCTCATTCCTTCTGTGGGTGTCTCACATTCAACTGTCTTAATTAATATTGAAATTTAGGATTAACTGCAAGAGCTGGCTGAAATTGCCTTAAGACTCTTGAGCCTGAAGCTACTTCAAGTTCTTGTTGGCCCTCAAATGGATGTAAACCCCTTCACTGAGGCTGGAGAAATGACTCAGTCAGGAAAATAATTGCCAAACAAGCATGAGGACCTGATTTTGACCCCCCACCCCCACCTCAGAACCCACATAAAAGCTGAGGGCAGAGGTATGTGCCTGTAACCTGGGTCAGTGGGGACAGGAAGAGCCTTGGAGTTTGCCATTTAGCCAAGTTATAAGAATAAAGGAAACAGTCAGCACTGACCTCTGGTTTCTACACAGGCACATACATGTGCATGCATATCCTCACACACACACATGCACACACACAAACATGTACTACACATCTATACAGGTAAATAAATAGATAAATAAAAAACATTTTAATGCCAAAAGCCCAAACACAAGTGTAATTCCTCAGGTTAAAACTCAAGGCCAGTTCTCTCCCGCATTCACCCAGTAACACTGAACAAATCACATAAAACAAATTTATACTGAAGTGTATGATTAACTTTTATAGCAAATATTATTGAAGATGGTGTTTCAGAGTTTAGGATTCCATGCAGTTCCTTGGATACTCCCAGAAAAATAAGTCTGTATGTATCTGTCTAATTAAATTACATTTCTGTATCGAGACAAATTAATATGACCCATTAAATTTTCTTGCCATAAACTAAGGTTGAATAGAAGTTAGTCTGTGAGAGAATTAGTTATTTCCAGCCTGAAAGAGCAAATTCTGAGCTGTAAGTGATAAACCTAATTTACTGATGGTATGGAGTGCCATTGTATTAAGAATCTGCGATGTCATTTAGGCTCTTTTAAACAGCCAGAAATTTCCAAATGCTATGTCCCCCTGCTAGTTAAAATAGCCCCCTTTCCTCAAATGTTAAAGAATTCCTTTTTCACAAAGAAAAGAAAACGGATGCAATGCAATTGAAAAGCAACACCCTTAATATGGTCTCACAGCATCAGTGCTGCTGTGTGTCCTGTATATTACTCCTGGGTTTTAGGTGTTAGCAGCACTGCCTGCACACAGAGGCACCAAAGGAGCTTTTGAATGCCAGCATCAAAGGCGCTACCACAGATAAATTTGATAAAAAATGTCTGTTGGGGGATCCAGTTACCACTACCTAACAACTACCGAAATGATTCGAATGTACATTTTGAAGTAAGAACCTCTGTGCTGAAGCCCTAAAAGGCCGGGGTTGAGTAACATGAAATAAGAAAAAAAAAAGTAAGAAATGAAGTGGAATGTTGGGGCTGGGGCCTGACAAGAGTTTGGGGTTTTAAAGTAAGTGTCTTGAGAAGTTGGAGGTTTTCATTGAAAGAGTAGCATGTTGGTAATAGTAGAATCTAATCAAATAGGATTTTCTCAGAATCTAATCATTTGTAAACTCTAAAGAAAAATGTGTGTGTGTGTGTGTGTGTGTGTGTGTGTG